TAAAGTGACAAGGTGATCTCTGACCAGCTCTTCACCTGTCTTGGGTTTCCATTCTTCTTTCCTGTGAGAGGTTTCCTACTGGAAGATCATTGTCCTTGAAAGAAGCTGGAAATGAGAGTGGAATGGAGTTCTGATTTCCCCACCTTCAGGGAACAGGATCCAATCGGCCTCAAACACAGAACATATCCTTTTCTCATTCTTGCTGAAAACATGGCTATGGAAACACATCAGAGGTCATCAGAGGTCACCGTACTCCAGCCTTTTCGTGACCTACCCGCAGCGCATCTTTGCGGAATGCCCTTACTTTATCCTTCCATCCACCTTTCCCGGGATCTGAGGTCATGCAGTCATCCACAGTCTAAGTGCACCTCCCAAAATTTTCATTTGCATTTCAGTCATCAGAATGAGTGGCCTTCCCGCATGGCAACCCTTAAGCTACACACCTGTTTTCTAAACAGAGGAATGAGACTGTGAGATGATAACTATGATATAGACAGTTTTCTTTAATTGTTACCTCAATGACTGAGAAGCTGAAATATTTTGGAAAACAGAGCACATTTTTCTACGATGGTGAAGTCATGTGAATATTGGTGCCACTTGTGATCATCCCGCAGAACTCTCTCTGAGGGTCATCCCGAGAACACGCACGGATGAATACCTCTCGGAGCCAATTTAAGTGCTTCCATATTCAAGTGCTGTGAAATGAGTGCTCACGCGTGTAGAGGACGGTACGGAATGCGACACAACCCTTCCGTCGGGACCATGGTGTCCACCCTTCCCGCTGCTGGGACTGCTGTCTGCTGAGGGCCCACCTGGATCCTTCCCCAGGAACAACACTCGGGAAGGATCTGCCTCCTCCAAGGTCAAGTGCCCTGGAAGGCAGATGCCTCCTACAACCAATCAGTGCCCTTCCCTTTACCTCAATTCAGAGAAGCCAGTTTCCCAATCTGCAGCCAAGGCCTCCATGGCAAGTGCATCAGGGTCCAAATCCTCCCATGTCTCAATTCTGCTTCCTTCATTCCTTCAGCAGCGTGGTTCCTGAGAGCACTTCCCTGCACACAAATCTCCATCCCAGAGTCTACTTTTCAGGGCATCCGATGTCTAACAATCCCTAATACAGTAGAAATTACATAGTATGTACTTTAATTCATCTGTGCTCGTCACTAGTATGCTAAAAAAATCAGGTATATAAACTGTCCAATTAACTAGCCCTGAATGAGCAAGATCCAAGAAGTAAAAAGATGAATACAAAGTTAGAGCACATTATAAACTGAATTTTATTTCTTTTCTGGGACATTTTCCACAGGTATAACCCTCAAAGTATTAAAAAAAAAAATACCTTGGAAGAAAGCTTACATTTGAAATGGTCAACTATTCTAAAACTTTTGTGAATTATCATTTTTTAATTTTTTTTAACATTTATTCATTTTTGAGAGACAGAGAGAGAGAGAGAGCATGAGAGGGGTGGGGGCAGGAGGCAGAGAGAGAGGGAGGCACAGAATCTGAAGCAGGCTCCAGGCTCTGAGCTGTCAGCCCAGAGCCCGATGCGGGGCTTGAACTCACAAACCGCGAGATCATGCCTGAGCTGAAGTCGGACGCTTAACCGACTGAGCCACCCAGGGGCCCCGAATTACCATTTTTAACGTTCAGTTTATGCTCTGGGTTATCATTTTGCCTAAAGCAACTCCCCACAATAGTAATTAAGAGGTCTTTTTTCCTTTTTAACGGCCACAATTTAGCCAGTCCGAAGCAATTATGAAAGATCAGAAAAACAAAATTTAGATATCACTTTTTGTCTTCCTACAATACCGATCTCCTCTTTACCAAATGGTAGCCAACAGCTGCTTTCACCATTAACAGCAGATAATGTACTACTCCATGGCAAACACAGCCGTCAATAATTCTGTTCCTCCCTTACCGCCATCCCCGGGCTCAAGTGAAAATACATTGATGTCGTTATGGCTCTCGACACATTGATTAATCAGGTAATACACATTCTAAACACTTAGTGAAATGGACTGTAAAAAAACTATTTTACTGACTCTCAGGGGCAACGATTTATCTTCTCTTACTCTAACAGCAGTGCTGTATCTGTGTCTTTGCAGTCAGTGGTACTTAAAAATCATCTGAAAATGCGTGGGCTTTGTGGATTCAACATCATATAAAGTTCACTGAATTTGGCTAAAATTTTCAAAAAAAAAAAAAATTAAATGGACAACACAAAGCATGCTAAGACCCAGAGACGGGAACAAGAGAAAATATTAGAAACTGTTTGACAATATGGACCGGACAGGATGATGGACAGTGTTAATTTCACTCCGAATCCAGCCCACTGGAAAGTGATGACGATCCCTTTCAACACAACAGGAAATAAATGCGCACGGAAGCAATTCTTAATAGAATACTGTTGCCATTCATCTGGTAGTACCAGAGCCAACAAGACACTCAGAGAGTGTTTGGTAACAACAACAAAAAATATGTGCCTGATATATTATGCAGCCAAATTAGCAAGCAATTAGATAGAAATATTGAAACTGCACCAGAAGCAACTGCCATCCTAAAACTCCCTCTGTATCCAAACAAGTAAGCGGAAGCTTGCGAAATTTACTGAATTTACAACGTCTCGTTCCTGTTTTCCAAATCCTAATAATCATCTCCCCAGGGAAAACGTTTTCAAATCTTCCAAAGTGGGTCCCCTTCCTCTATGTTTTCACAGCACCGTATTTCTTTTCCTTCATATAACTTGATGTTGTTGGTTCTGTGGTTAATGTGTCCCTACGCCAACTGGACTGCCAGACCCCACGACTGGAACCCTGAATGCCTAGTGCTGTGTATGATACGTTACAGGTGCTCCACGTATACATTTTAAATGAATAAATGACATTCTTGACACATCAGCGATTTTCTCCATTTTTCCAGCCTCGTTTTGGTTGTCACTTGCATATCTCTAGACACTGACTCTCTCTTCTGCTCCAAGTCTGATGAGAATACAATAGCAGACAGCATCCCTAGAACAATGTGACACTTACAGGAAAAGGACACATTCCTCCTACCCCTTTTGTTCTGTGTACACGAAAACAGACTACTTGTTAAAGTGCATTTAGGTACCTGTGATGGGTCCCGGAATACATAAGCAATAATCTTAAGGGAAATTTTACATCTTTGTCCAAAATCGTCTTCGGAACAATACTATGTATTCTACACCAAGCCCTTTATAAATAAGCAGGAATCACAGATATTAGTGGAGTATTATAATCATAGGTATTAATTAACTAGCACCATGCTCCAGTTATTAAGAAATTATCCAACATCAAGAACAGAGATATAACATCTTCCCATTGGATTCTTTTTCTTTATGTTTATTTCTGAGAGAGAGTCAGAGTGTGAGCTGAGGGAGGGCCAGAGAGAGAGGGAGATGCAGAACTCGAAGCAGGCTCCAGGCTCTGAGCTGTCAGCACAGAGCCCGACGTGGGGCTCGAACTCACAAACCGTGAGATCATAACCTGAGCTGAAGCTGGACACTTAACAGACAGACACCCAGGCGTCCTTCGCATTGGATTCTTTTGTCCAGCTCTGGTGGTTCTCACACTTTCTAGCTTCTGGCTTTGGAGTGACATTCCCTCCATCACCCCCCACATCACACTTTATACTGATATCTTACCTTTAGTGACTTTGACAGCATTATTCCCAAGTTCTGCTTCTGCCTAACTGTCACTGTGACAGACACCATATTGCAGCCCTGACCGCAACCCCCCCAATGGTGCATGTGTATGAAGCCTGTCATCTATTAATGGACTTACGATTTTAACCTTATTGTCAATTACGGAAGAGGAAAAATTGCATTTTCATGATACATTTTGAGAGCCACTTCGACACATCTTAATTCCCTCTCATTCCATTCAGTCATCGTTATTTCAACATCCCCATTTTTTTTTTTTTACTTATAGCTTTGTACCCATCAGACATGGATTTTGTTTTTCAGTTTTTCTTTTTAGAAAGAAAAAATATATATAATATCAGCAGCGTAGGGATCTAAAGAGCTGCCTCACCCTGCCACCAGCTATTTGAGATTCAAAACTAAGAGTAACAGCCTAGGAATGAAAACAGAATGACTTTCGGAAACCACGGAAGTTACTGAGTTTCCTGCACAGAAACACTCTGCTGGCAGGACCGGCTTGCGTGACTACAAGCGGTTGATTGTGTTCTTAGTTCTTAGTCTGGGTTCCCCCAGAAGCGGACCAGGAGACAAAAATTTAAATGTGAAAAGCACGCTTGAAAGAGGGCTTCAGGCAAGATGGGAAGGGAGTGAGATGCTGTGGCATCAGGCCCCACATTAAGGCCCTGTATTATGTGGGTCTTGATGACGAGGGGTCCCAAGGCAAGCCGAGGGCAAAGCACAACCTAACGACACCCCTGCCCCCAGGTGAGGTATGTGTGACCTTCCTCGGGCACTCCTGGCCACCCAAGAGCAGAGGAAAGGAAAGCACATCAATGGTTAACTGATAGAGACCACCGTCGTGCAGGACGGGAGTCTCCATGGGTTTACAAATATCTTAGGAAATTGCAAGAAAAAGGCAATCTTATCAACAGCCTAACTTCCAGAAACCCACAGACTCAGTTTCCTGGAGCCCTAACATCACCCTCCCCTCCACAGTGACGTGGTGAACACAGGCAAGAAGAAAATGTAAATAACATTAAATTTCTTGATAGCCTGCAGCCCCGTTGACATACACTTGAGGCAAAAACAGAGTATAACATTCCTCCAGGAACCCCCTACCACCTGAATGTTAATACTTTGCTACAGGGAAAATTAACTAGCTCAATAAGGCAAGGCCTCGGGTATCTTACGAGTCCTCTTTAACATACGAAACCTCCCTTTTTCCTTACCCCCCGCCAACTCTCAGGTGTATTATCAGTCACTCCTCACAGCCCCAGCGCAGCTCTTTCTGCAACATGGGTCCTGTCCCCGGGTTTAATAAAATCACCTTTTTGTATCACAGACATCTGAAGAACTCTTCCTTGGCCATCAGCTCCAGACCCCCGCCACTGTTACAGAACCTGCTCTGGACCACCCTGTAGAAGAGCCAAGCGGTACTCGGAGATCTTGGAAGGCAGGAGGTTTATTTCACACCGGTGGGCTCAGAGGAGATCACTCTCCAGAGATCTGAGCCCCTAGCATAAGCAGAGGGAACGATCTATAGTCTGTTACTTCCACATTTCGCATTAGTAGTAATTTGGCGCACGAGGCAAGCATGGCAGGAAGAAGAACCTGGAAAGGGAGTCTTTGGCTGGGGTCTGGAATTTCCCTATCAGTCCTGTCGGCCATCTTACAGCAGATTTCTCCCTAACACCACCACCCCAAAGTGGCATCACTGACTTCTGGGGAAAACTAGGAGGGCCCTGGATGGCCTAACCACAAGCTCTTCTCTCCACTCTGCTCCCACAGACCAGGCCCCCTGACTTGTCACAGGACCAGGCACAGCCTCTGTCTATCCCTTAGTAGTGGGCTTTAGTCCCCCACCCGCCCACAGAATCACTCCCAACAGATCACATCCTCCTGCAAGAACCAATGGACACCCCGCCCTCTTGTTCCTACAACGCCTTCCCTGGTCCCGCGGTCCTGTTCCCGAGTGCGATCCCCGTACAGTTCCACGCGGCAGGCAGTGTCCTCTTCCAAGGCTGCGAGTCCGTGTAACTCACAGACTAAGGTTGGTCCTGATTGTCCGTGTCCCTCTCATGGGTCTGGCCATCTCCATCACCCTATGGCAGGAGCCTCTTCCTCACCAGTGGGGACGAATAGGAGAAAATTAAAACAGACACAGAAGGAAATATAGCTAATGAAAAGTGCCTTGGCAGGTTACTACTTAGAGCTGCTGGGTATCTGTCCTAAGACCCTCTCGAGAGTTCTGGGGGCCAGAGTAGAAATACCAACCCGGTGTGCTGAAAGAGCTAACTTTGCCAGGTACGGTTGAGGGCTGCCCCTGGGGCATTCACCTCCCACACCAGACACGGGGAGGCTCTGCCAGCCAGAGCAAGCCCTGAGGCAAAGATGCAGAGCCGGCAGGTGGGGCTGCTGGCAGGACAGCTGTGAGGGGGTACGGGCAGAGGCCCCTGGAGCAGTGGGAAAGAGCAGTGGTCCATTTGGCCAAAATCCTGTTAGCTCCCAAGTTGTTCTGCAAAATTCACTAATCCGCACATCTTTTGGCACCAATAAAGCTCTAGGGAAGAAAAGAGGATTGGTAAAGGGAAAAAAGAAAAACGTTGATGGTCTGATAGAGTCGCTAATTCACTTCTCTACCCACGAGCAATCAGGAACGACATCTTCTTGGCTGGGGCTTCTCAGACTCTAGCACGTATCAAGATCACCTGGAAGGCATGGGGCTCAACTCCAGAGTCTCTCCTCAAGCAGGCTGGTGGGAGGCCTGAGAGCTCGCATTTCTAACAAGTTCCCTGGTGGTGCTGATGCTGGTGGTCCAGGGACCACAGCTGGCCCGAAGCCAGGGCCCTGCCACCAAAGGTCTTCAAACACGGAGCTGTGGAGACCTGGCATTCATGATAAGGATGTGACAGAGTCAAAATGACATTACAGCAAGTCTCCTCAACAGACGGATGGACCATCGAAGCATGAGGTTAAAATAAAAGAAGAACAATCAGCAGCTTTATCTTTGCAGCATTATAATTCGAGGAGACAATGAGATTTCCTTTATACAGATCACGTCCAGGTAAGAGCAAGTAAGGACAGTAAGGATGGCAGCTAAACCTGTATTCACACAAAGTCCTGGACATTTTTTCCATGATGGGTGACCAGGGGCTTCCTAAAGAGATGGTATTGAGAACTGGAGTCAGGGTCACTCTTTCCCGGGCGACAACTGGGCACTTCTCTGTTGATAAGGAAATGTCTTGCACTTGCCTTTATTTATTTATTTACTTATTTATTTATTTATTTTGAGACAGAGACAGAGCATGAACGGGGGAGGGACAGAGAGAGAGGGAGACACAGAATCGGAAACAGGCTCCAGGCTCCGAGCCATCAGCCCAGAGCCCGACGCGGGGCTCGAACTCACGGACCGCGAGATCGTGACCTGAGCTGAAGTCTAATGCTTAACCGACTGAGCTACCCAGGCGCCCCAACGCTTGCCTTTATTCCTCTAGTCTGACAGGAGTCTGGTTTTGCCTTTGGAAACCACCCCAGTGTCTTGATCTCACGGAAGGTCCCGCTTGCGCATAAAAAGAGGACCACCTGACTAGCCCTTTAACTTTGGCCTCTGAATTCAAGTGCTCAAGATGCTATCCCCAGATCCATTACTGCTTAAAAAGAAAGGAGAGGAAAAGCCTGAAATCTCACCATCAGGTGACATAGGAAAGCCCATCACAGTGCTCTTGCTGAGATGTGAGACAGTGTATCGATACAAAGCACAAGGAAGTCTTTCCTCCCCGAAATCTCTACTGAACCTTGGCATTCAGCCCCCAAAGGAGGTTTTCCTCAGAAGCTCTAGCTTCCCTGGCCATTATTGAAAGGGCCAGGCTCATCATTCATACAACTGTCATCTTTCAAATGTGTATTGAGCGCCTTCTGTGTGATAGGTAATGTGCATTCTACAAGAGCATATTCAGAACGCGGTCTGACAGGTGTAAGAGGCTCCCGCGAGGGCCTATGTGTCCAGGGAGATCCAGTTGAAATCCTGCCATTTCAGATGCATTCCTTGCTAGTGAGGTACGAGGTCTTGAAGGGACTTCCAATGACCTGAAATACACCTGGTGAGCATCCCAATACTGACCCGAATCCTACAGGAACACCTCGGTGGACATTAACACACGATCCTGTTTGCCAATCCGGATGGTTCAGCACAGAACCACACAGGTATGATACGGAAAAGGCAATCTGGTGGTGGGAAACACGGGCTATAAAATGCGCGAAGAAGCAGTGAGACATCAGCATTAGGGGAGGTGCTCCAATGCACGACCTGAAAAGCGAGGGCGAAACAGTAATGCCCTAGAGGTGGTGGGCGATCCAAGGAGCCCTGGGTGCTCCCGGCAGGAAAAGAAGGCTCTGAAAGGTCTATTTCACAATTCCGCATACAAATCGAGAGCGAGGCTGCCAGTCTGTGTGTGTATCTTCCTGCTCCCTGTCCCTGCGGAGGCAAAGTCAGACATCTTCTAGGAGGTCAGCCGAAAGGAGAGGCGGACCCGAAGACAAATGGAATCAGCAGGAAGGCTTTTCTCTCTGCCTGAGACACAGCCGTCTCCTTGTATGAAGACAAGAACCAAGATCATTGTGTTTATTGTCAGAGCGTTTCGAGGCATTGCTTTGACTCGATTTTAAGCTCTGTTAACTTTCAGCATTATCCCTCTAAGTTTTCGTCCCTTGCTAGCTGAGCGACTAACCCCCTCTGAATGCCCATTTCTTTCAACACAAATACTCGGCCAGGTATTCCAGAGGCTGCTGCGTTGACGGAGAAGCAGTTCGTGAAAGTGTCGAGCTGGGCCCGGCTCCTTGTAACTGAGTGTGAGCTTCCAAAATCCGCATCCCTCCCTCCGCGCTCTGTGCTCCCCCCAGCCCATTCGCAGTCATGATGACTGTTCTCTCTCTGGAGTCTAGACAGCATTAGACACCCTAATACTTTCATTCATTCATTCGGCAAATACTTGTTCTCATTTGTGATACAACATTGAAGTAAATGCCGGAGACACAAAAATGACAGGCAGAGCCCCGCTCACGCATAGCTCTCTGTCTCCCCAGGGGATGGGCAAATACAGAGTCCATTTACCGGAGTGTGATAATGAGCTATTCCAGAGAAACACAGAGGGAGGGAGTTAGAATCAGAAGGAGAGGCAGCTGGGACGGTCCCCAAGGGGAGAGGCAGCTGAGCTAGGTTTCCAGGGAAGAGCTAAGGAATGACACAGGTAGACAAGGGCGTGAAAGAAACAGCAAATGTGAGGGCACAGAGGACAGAGAGTGAGACGCCTCTGAACGCTAGGAAAGGGGCCAGAGAGGCAACAATGAAGGACGGGAAGGCGACGGTGGATGACAGGAACAGCCAAAATGCTGGCATCACGAGAGGCAAAAAGGAAACCATTCAGAAAGGAAAGGAGGGGTCCGATCGGAGGAAGCAAGTAGTACGGGAACCAAGAAGCGTCTGTCCGCTACGTTGTTGAGAATCTCAGCAAGGAGAGTCAGAGAGCAGCAGGGGCAGAAGTCAGTCCGCAACAACGTGGGAAGTGAGACAGAGTCGAGCATAAACATACCACATGGCTTTTGTGGCCAGATCTGCACCACCTCCCCCCTGTCCCTGCCCACCACCGCCTGTCGTGTCGGGGAGTCATGGTCACAACAATGCAGTAAGCACAGAGGCGCACTGCCGTTGGCTTATAGCTGGTATTTGCGGAAAAGTCTTCCTACATCCGTATTTCACACTTTGAAGTATATCTATTGCCCTTATAGCTTATGACCTCTTCCACATTTATACAGCCGTTTGGAGATAAACCATTGGAGATAAACCATTACCACCACTAACCCCACTACCGACCCATACCTCCACATACTCCTGGGTGCTCATTCCGCTTTGATCTGGACCTGGTCTGGGGCTTCATTTAGCATCCTGGACTGTTCTGCAGCACCCTCTCCTTCCAAGTATCTATATTCTTTATAACAGGGTTACACGAAACACTTGCTCAATGTGCCTGGGGGCTCCCCCTTGTGGCAGAGAGCAGATTGACAGTCCCAAAGCCATTCACAAAGCCCCTTTGCATTCCTCAGGCAGGAAAGCTGGAAGGTTGATCTTTCTAGACTTCTTTGCAGCCAGGCAAGGCGTGTGACAATTATGGCCCAAAAGATTTAGGCACAAATCTCTGGGTAGGGGTTTTGTTTCCAAGTATACAGGTGACGCCTCATTAGGAAAAAGCTCTTTGCCTTGGACCCTTCCCTCTTCTAGGCAATGCAGACCATCCAGCTGCCATTTGCAGACATGAGGAAAAGAACCACACACACACACACACACACTCAGAATGATGGAGAGGAGCCCTGGGACTCTGATGACGTTGGCGAGTCGCTACACCAGTCTGAGCTGCTACCTAAGGACTCCTGCTAAGCGAGAAGCGTAAACCTGTTACTGAACTAGCTAAAGATGATTTATTCTTGGGGCACCTGGGTGGCTCAGTTGGTTAAGCATCTGACTTTGGCTCAGGTCATGATCTCATGCTTCATGAGTTCGAGCCCCGCATCAGGTTCTCTGTTGTTGCAAC